TCACATAATTATCCGATCTACCTTTCTAGTTATAAAGTATCTATATCACCTTTAATACATTACATAAAAGAATGCCAAAATAAAATGATTCCGAGAATAAAATTATGAAAATCCCTCTATACTTATAAAACCTGAAATTGATTTATTGCGGGCATCCGAGTGCTGCATTTGATAAATCACTACCATGTGGCTTAATTTTGTCAGCGTTTATTAAATTGGAACAGAACCTCTTTAAGATTTTCTTACAATTACAAAAAGCATTTGTTTTCTGAAACTTTAAAAATAAAGTTCTTAAAAGATTTAAAGGTTTTTCAGTGCATTTAACTGATTTTAAATCTTGGGACATTGTTAAACAAAACGATTCTCGTAAATATTTCTCACCTATAAATAACAAACCTTTGACAGAACATCGCCTGTTAAAGAAAAGAACGGTAAGATGGTACTTTTATCAACTATAAAAAATAACCATGTAGTACATGTATAATCAAGTCTTATTTTTAAATTAATAAACATTAAATCAGATTGATATCTTGTTGATATTAATAGATATTAATGTTATCATATTAATAGTTATAAATTTCTATTAAGATAACTTACAGGTGAAAAGAGTGATCAGTAAATCGCCAACATCTTAAACCAGAAAAATATATAGTTTGTAGCTTTATAAAAAAAATTAAAAAATCATTAGTTTGAAAAAACACATTAAATAATATAAAACTGTCTTCTTCAATTTACAGATTTTAATTGGAAAATTCAAATTTTTGTGGAGGACAAAACTAAATACCGCTCTGTAAAGCCAACAATGCATCCGAATAGTTTATCTATCATAGTTGATCTATACAGTTTGTTAAAACTATTGTTATAGTAGTGACGTTCAATTATTTTTTAGAATCTGTTGCAGGGGTCAACTAAAGGCCAGCCGGAGATTTTAGATGATTAATGTACAATTAGTTTAAAATATTGGAGCTGCTGAAAATGATACTTACTCTTATCATCTTCATGAACATGATGTTCATTTCAACAGTGTCACCTAAAGGTAACAATCGTGTAACAAGGTCCTATCTTTAATCATTAAAACGTTGAAACAATTATGTTTAAAGCAATATGAGCTGCATTTTTGAGAATTTCATTTTGCTGGTAAAATGTGCTATTGTGATTAATTTGTATGTCATTTAAACCCTTATGACCAATAAGCCTAAAATAAAATGTAGAAATGTTCAGAAGAAATATTTCTGTACAATCGAATGTACAGTATCATATAAGAAATCATTATTGTACAGGACGACAATAATTCAAATTTGCTTCTATCAAAGCTAATAAAAAAAATCTACCGCAAATATGAACAACAGAAGTTTATAAATGTTTTATTTTTCTGTCATTGAAATAGTTAGTAACAAATATCCAATAAAAAAATCCGATGTCAAACATGCAGCTCATATTGCTTTAATAATTACTTGATGATGTATGTTACAAATAGAATCTCACATTATTTGTAGTTAAATATGATTTTTAGCCATCGAGTTGTTAGCTTTATATCCTTGAACCTTGGTGAGGGGATAAAAATACATAACGAATTGGATAAAAATCATCAAGCTACAAAGCATGTGAGATTCTATTTATCTCATGTTCTAATTTTGGTTTATACATCACATCAATATTTTGCACTGCTTTTATATAGGACTCAACTTTACATTTTTTGTATTACGCTAACGCAAAACCAAATGAGACGTCATAACTGTGGGATACAAAAACAATATGAGCTATACCCACGGGATAAAGGGGATAAACATGGGATAAATGTATTTACCTTCAATAAAAATATAAACTTTAAATTTAATAAGTATAATTCTTATATGGGAGATAAATGAATACACGTATAGATATATATCATTGATTTTCATGAAATTGTATCAAATCACTTGATTGTATAATTGCTAGGTAAATGCAACAACAGGGTAAATACTTTAAAACCTAATCAAGCTTGCTTTAATCTTTACATTATACTTACAAACAATTCAGCTTCAGATATCCACTTTTATGAAAAAATAATGAATTCGGTTTGAAAATCACGGCAACCGTTATGAAATGCATGTACAATAATCATGCAAATTATTCATAAATTATAAAAGAAATATTATCATTTGTTTAGACACATAATCAAATACGATTAAAAGATAAAATGTATGCTTTGATTTAAAAGTTAATTTGATGGAATTTCGAAAAATCACGTAATTGCTGATTCTTGAAAAAAAGCATTCATTTAAAGTGATGATATACCTCCTTCATATAATCATTGAGAATGGTTTAACTATTTATATTTGATTGTATATAATTTTAGTAGGAGTAGTACATTCTCAGGAACCAATTCAGATAGACAATTTAATAACAAGATATATTTAAAAGTACCTCATGCACAATGCATTTAATACAATAAATAGCTTTAATTAATGCAATGATTATAAAAAACTAGAATCAATAAACTGCATCCTTATTATCTCAAGTGAGCTGTTCTAATCAAAATTTGTCCGTCGTCTGTCGTTGTCGTAAACTTTTCACATTTTAATCTTCTTCTCAAGATCCACTGGGCCAATTTTAAACAAACTTGCCACAAAGTATCCTTGAGTAAAGGGAATTCAAGTTTTTTTTTCAAATGAAGGGCCTAGCCATTTCCAAGGGGAGAAAATTATGAATAATGAAAAATTAAAGGCGTCTTTTATAAATCTTCTTCTCCAGAACCATTGTGCCAGGAAAGATGAAACTAATGTGGAAACATCCTCCGGTAGTGTAGAATCAAGTTTGTTCAAATCATGACCCCAAAAGGTAGGGCGGGGCCACAATGGCTGATCAAATTTTACCAAGGTAAATAAAGGAATGTTTTTTAAATATCTTCTTCTCTAGAACCATTAGACCAGGAAATATGAAACTCATGTGTAAGCTTCCTCAGGTAGTGTATATTCACGTTTGTTCAAAAGTTAACCCCAAGGGGTAGGGCGGGGACACAATGGCTGATCAAAGTTTTACATAGAAATATATAAGAAAAATATTTTAAAAATCTTCTTCTCCAGAACCATTGTGCCAGGAAAGATAAAACTCATGTGGAAGCATCCCCAGGTAGTTCAGATTCAAGCTTGTTCAAATTATGACCCCCAGGGGTAGGGCGGAGCCATAATGGCTGGTCAAAGTTTTACATAGGAATATATAAGAAAAAAATCTTTGAAAATCTTTTTCTCAAAAACCTTTGGGCCAACAAAGATGAAACTAATGTGGAATCATCGTCACGTAGTGTAGATTCAAGTTTGTTTAAATCATGACCCCCCGGGGGAAGGGCAGGGCCATAATAGCTGATCAAATTTACATAGGAATACATAGGAAAATTCTTTTTAAAATCATCTTCTCAAGATAAGCAAAGCTAGGATTGATAATATTAATATGGAAATATCCTCAATTAGAGTTATTTCAAGTTTGTTCATATCATGTCACATCTTTACATAGAAATATATAGGAAAAATCTTTGAAAGTCTTCTTCTCAAGTATGGCAAAATTATTCATGTATGTTTTATTGATATAGTGACATTCTCAAGTGAAAAAAATCAAATTCCTCCTCCCCCAACAAGTAAACTTTTCCTTACTGAGCTGATTTGTGTTTTTAACTAGCCGATGTGCTCAGGTGAGCGATGTGGCCTATGGGCCCCTTGTTTCCTTATATTACACTTTCATGTAAATTAGTTGAAACTGGCCCGGGGGCCATAAAACTTACACGAGCTCACTTTTGATCTAAGTCTCACTTTTCCACTATATATTCATTTGGTAAAAGTGAGACTTAGATCAAATGTGAGCTCGTCTAAGTTTAATGGCCCCCAGGCCTGAACATTTGTCAAAAATACTTATACCCGCTGAATAATGAAGACCTGCCCTCCAGCGTAGCAACTAGCAACAGTCAACAGTGCTTAACGAAGGGTGATATTCCAAAAAATACCGACCGGGCAGAATTGATGCGCGCACGGTTCACAGTTATATGTATTTGTATAAAAAATTCAATAAAATATAATATGTATATGTATAGAACATTCAGTATAATATAATTAATATTGAATGTATTTGAGTGTAACATTGAAAATTAATGATTTGAAATTGGAATCAATTGCACAAAGGCTTTTACAAACACTGATTAGCAATTCTGTTGAAATATAAATCTCTTAAAACTACACGAACAGAGTGTAATTTTTACCTGTAAGTTACATCTAACAGCATTATTGTTGTGACGCAACTCTTTCATGAGGATCATAAAACCGATCCATTGGCGATGAAGTAATGAAAAACCATCTTTAAGAGTAATAAGTGATTTATAATATTTCTCTGATTTATTATCATTTAATATGCAACAAAAAACAATTCCATCAAGTATGACAGATATACAGGAAAATGGCATGTTGTGACAACTTCTGTTGTATTGAAAAAGGGGATCTAGTCATTTTGTTATATCTTTAAATGTGCAATTTAAAAGACACTGCATATTGATAGATTTTTTCATCAATTCCACTGAATTTGGAGAAAAAAATTGATCAGAATGGTCACATTAAAGACAATTATACTGCAAATTTAAATAACAAGCTAAGATATTTCGTTTGTTTCTTTTAAACACTGCTTCAAGAAATTTGCGTTAAAATTATGATAAGATAATGATATTTGATATATATATATATATATATATATATATTATGCAACACCCTGAAAAGTGGCTCTCTTCCATTAAAACATGATTAACTTGATATTTTTTCCTGCAGGATGTTCACCCAAACCAATCGATTTTGTTTTTCTTTTGGATGAAAGTGGAAGTGTGGGAGAGGCAAATTTCATTCTGCAAAATGAATTTGTTGCAAAATTTGTTGAAGTATTTAGTAATGGCAGTGATTTAGCACGTGTTGCCGTCGTTACATTTGCAACAACTGTAAAAATTGAATTTTACCTGAATACATACCTCAGCAATACAAAAATAATTGAGAAAATAAGACGGATAAATTATTCTCATCCTGGGTTAACTATGACACAGTTTGCTTTACATAGCGCTCGGACTGAAATTCTTAATGTGAATCATGGAATGAGACCAAATGCCTTGTACGTCGTAATTGTGATGACTGATGGAAAGTCAATGATTCGGTCTAGAACAATTTATGAAGCTAAACAACTCCACAACATGGATGTTATCGTATTTGCCATTGGTATTGGCACAGAAATAGATAAAGAAGAGTTACGTGGAATCGCCTCACATCCTGATTATGTGTTTACTGTGAATGACTTCCATACTTTAGAGACAATACAAAACGGAATTAAAAATTCAGTTTGCAAAGGTAAAACTTTATTATAACATGCATCATTTATGCAATTT